GTAGGTCACAACATCATTGATTCGGGTTGGATGGAAAAATAAGGTAAAAGCTGCATGACCATATTTTATTTCTAGTTATACTCATAAAGGTAACCATAAATGTTGCTAGCTAATGTTGTATACACTCAATATCTTTGTAAATATTTGCAGTTAAAACATGGTAAAACAATGATTCAAACAATATATCTTTTAGATTACAAATTATGCATAACACATGTTTTTGCAAAAATTATCAATTCAGTAGCCAATCAGCACTTTTTTTTTTAGGGGCTGTAGCCACAAAGGTCTCCTGGCCTTGATCTCCACTGTGTGTATTCCCATGTCTGGTAATATTACGCTCAGGTTATAATTAACATAGATATATATATTTAACAAAACAATGATATCCTTTCCCCAGTCCTTATTGAGAAGTGGAAGTATCAAGGAGCTCAATTGTTGAGCTGCTTGGGTGCTGTTTAGGGTTATGACAGTACTGTGACCAGTGAGGCCACTGCTTGAGAAATTTGTTGCTATCTTGAAAATTTTACCCCTCGCTACAAGCTTCAAAAAAAAATAGAAACCTTACTTGAAAGATTTTAATAAAAATTCTATTTTAAACTATTATTATTTTATATTTAAGAACCATAATTACCGGTTACTTAGATACAACAATGTTTTTTTTTACATTTAGTGTGCTAAGTAATTTGGCACCCTCTGGGCCCATGGTTAGCTAATTTCACCTGTAAGTGAAATGAATCTTCCATCTTTTATTTAGAAGAAAATTGATCTTAAATTTTTTTTTTTTTTAGTTTAGTCTCGTCTCAAACCATCCAATGAATAGATTTCGTTTTATTTTTGTAATGCAAATTACCGAGTGTCTATTTTCATTGATTATCTATTATTTTTGTGTATATTTTATGTATTTGTACATTTTACAGCAAACCTGCTTGATTAAAAATTAAAATAATTGTAATTGGATATAATTTGTCACATCTCAATTTTTTTTTGCAATATAGGAAGATTTCAGAAAAGAATCCATTATAGCTTTTATTTTTGTTCAAGCTCTGAATGCGACATCAACAATGTTACCTAGGTATGTAACAATATGACCTTCCATCCAGTAAGAATTGGGGGAGAGACTTTGCACCCTCCACCTAGACTGTTTTAATAACATTTGTCGGGGCTGTTCATCCAGAGCCTGTGTTTCACTCATATGTATTAATGTTAGCACAACAGTATTTATATCCAGTAGCTTTACAAAATCAAAATTTAGTGGAGGTACTTTTTTAAGCTTTTCCCCAGAAAGCTGAGTGAATGGGTAACACAGACACTATCTAAAGTTGAAATTAATAAAAAATTCTTGCTGCTTTCTTTACAGGTTTTGGGGAGTAAATGAATTATCTGCCTCAGGTGTGGAGTGAATTGTGGTGTGTGGGATGTGTTGGAGCTTGACTCTCCGTCATCCACAGCTTGTTGCTACAACTGTTGCTGCTTCTGTTCGGGAGAGTCTCATAACAATCGATTAGGAGATAACTAATGTAAGCTATTTTGTGCCTCATAATGGCGTTATCCACTTCCTGACCTAATGGAAAATAGTTCACCCAGGACACATGTGACAGTAACTACCATATTTTATGGCATATAAGATGCACCCCATTTTTGTAGCAGGGAGTATTTTAGGAAAAACTTTTTATGTGTATTTTTCCAACTGTAGCCATAGTTTTTAATACAGTATACAGTATCCAGTAAACTATTGAGAAATAGATCAAAATACAGTAAAACCTGGAATTAACTGACCACATATGAAGGGGGCAGGCGGATAATCCGAAAGGTCAGTTAATAGTACATAAAGTCTTTCTGAAACTCATGCATACATTTTCCAAAGTACTTGAACCTACCTCATTTAAGTCCCTCTATTCATTTTTGTTCATTTGCCATTCATATTTCCAATTGAATTTGCATGGCGCAATGCTCCACTTTAACAAATAATTATGAAACAGCACAGAAACCATGAATATAAAAAATGGAAGAAGTCAAAGAACATGTCATCACAAAATTGTGACCTAGTCCCAGGTTGCTGATCTGACTTTTCTACCTCCATTTACACACACAATTGCAGGTCTCAATTGCTTCTCTTACCTATTGACAACACAACAAACATATATTGTTTCTCCTCTTGATTTTTTTTCATTTTGCATTTGTTTATGGTTCTTTATTACCTATTATTGTACAGGTTGACAACCCTTTATCGAAACAAGCCAACGAAGTTTTTGGAGATGTGTACTTTCAAACTGCAGTCACTGACCACATTGGGGCCTGGGGGGTGAAAATGTAATGGTAATAATAATTATAATAATAATAATAATGATAATACGTGCAGTAATAATAATAATTATTCATAGTAAAATAAATTTTTAATAAAAATACAAAAATAAAATAAGAATGATAACAATAATAATACTGTAATAATAAAATAATAATAATAAAAAATACAAAAGAAAAGAAAAAAAAAAGATATTTTAGCCCCAGAACAATATTGGGTCAGTGACCTGTGCCCGGTGGGCTGATCCCTGAAAAAAAAAAAAAAAAAAAAACTAACCATTCTGAAATCCGAAAAATTCCGAAACCGAAATGCATCTGGTCCCAGGATTTGGATAAGGAATTATCAACCTGTATTATCATTTATAGCCCCCAGGCCCGATGTGGGTCAGTGACCTGTGCCCAGGTGACTCATCCCTAAAAATTAGGAGTTAAGGATTGACGGTTAATCCGAAAGTCAGTTGTCGAGGGCAGTTATCTAGGTTTTACTGTAATGCAATAAATAAGTAACAAAAAAAAAGCTGTTTTCTAAAAACATCTTTGTGATATAGATTCGAATCTTGACGTCCTTAAAATGCTACCTAGGTATGTTAATTCCTAATAGCCAGTGCATGAGCCAACATGCAAGCTTATTAAAACATCTAATAATTACTTAATAAGTAATATGAGGAGGACTTACGCCACTACCTGGCATTTAATTGCTATTTTTCAAGTCCTTCCTTCATCCAGCTACCCATCGCCCTGCGAACCTCATCTCTTGCCTCAGAGAGCAGTAATTAAAAGTCAACTCTCGGTGGAGATGGGTGGGTTATGAACTGTCGCATTGAGCTATATCACAAAAGCTTCAGATTTTAGAAAAAAACGGCTTTTTGTTCAATACTCTGAATACGGCGCTCAACAAAAATACCCCTAAATGGAAATTGGGGAGGAGGTGACTTTACATACAAGGCTCTGCTGACTTAGGTCCCTGATTATATTATAAATTATTTTTGAAAATTTCCAAAATTAGAGCGTTTACGGAAGGTAAAATGTTAATTTACTCAAAAAGGATACTCACTTTATTCTAATGAGGAATAAGGTCTGGTAGTGGAGATTGAATAGATAGGGGAGGGAACCCAACACCACCCATTTGAAGCATCTCTCACATTGATGGAGGTAGCTGTCTTTGAAAGTTTACAGAAGATCTCCAAAAGCCCATTTCCTTGATCTGACTGAGACTCATATGCTGCAGAGGGCCACAGACCCTGCATATTTCCTAGTATCATGTGCAAAATTTCTTGCCAGGGTCTGCTTGATTCACTAATTGAGATACAAGTTTGTCAATTGACTAGGGAGATAATTTCTTACCATCCCTTGATGAGAAAACATAAGAATCCTCTATTGAGGAATCTGGTTAACCATTCCTGAAGATTTTTAACTGGACACAGTATGTGAGGAACCCTAGTTTCATCCATTAGACGTTTTATCCTAGGTTGAGCTTGGAAATCTTCCTTTCATTTGTTCTTAGGATCTCCGTGGGAAAAGGATAACATCCTCGTCAGAAAATACCAGCAATAATGGTGTGGATTATTGGAAATTGAAAATATCCAGTTCACTGATTCTCATACCCGTTGCTATTGCTAGAAGGAAAGCTGCCTAGGAGTAATTATCCCTGTTCAGATTTATATGGGCCCCATAAGAAGATTAGTAACTTTTTCCAGAGACAAGGCAGGATTCTCTTGGAGTCGAGGAGGTCTCTGAATGAAAAGGGCGATCTTAGCAATTAATAAATCCTTGGGTTCAAGTAATATTAAACCCAAGCCAGAGGGTCAGCAATGCTGATTTGAATCACAAATTCCATCAATCACCAAAAACTAGCTCTGAACAGAAATTCTAGAAATTCTAATACAACTGTTTCCAATAATGAATCCGGAGTTAACAACGATAGAACAATGAAAGCTTTCTCATATTGCATGAAGTTTGGGGTCTATGACCTACTAATATGATTAGCTATATTAGATGCTGTAACCTCTTAAACTTTTGAGAAACTCAAGCATGAAGTGCCAAAGGATATCTCGAACTGAGAATGTAGTACCTGGTCTAGACATCCTTGTTGCAATTGTAGAGATTCGGGCACCAGTCCAGTAGATCTAGGCACCAGGTTGTAGGATCCAATATGGTGCAATTAAGAGGACTTTGCCTCGGAAGGATCTGGTTGTGAACCACTTTGGGCAATATTTTTCACAGGTGGGGAATAGATAGATTAATTCAAGGTTCCAATCTAAGAAGGAGGGCATTTCTAAAAGATTTGACCTTTCAGAGATGCATAAACTGGCATCTTGTAATTTGTTGGAAGGCAAGCAGATCTATCTGTGGAGTTCCAAACTTCTTCACTAGACTCTTGAACTCCGATACAGCCTTTAGGGACCATTCTGTTTCTGTCGATACTGGCGGAGCCGGGACAAGCGCATCTGCTGGAGTATTGTTTTGCACTCGGTATATAAGGTGCTGAGGTAAAGTGTTTGTGTTGCACAAATACTGAAAAAATTTTCTGATAGTTGTAGAAGAGTGAACCTTGTTGACCTACTGATGATTGAAGACAAAACACTGCCATTTTGTTGTCCATGGCAAACAGGATTGTCATATTTTGTAAATTTGGGTTTGCCGACAAAAGAATAGGACCACTGCTAATTCTTTTATATTTATGTTTTTGGCCCCAAAAGGAAGTTCTCCACTTCCCTTGATTTTAATTCCCCTTTTGAAGAATGGTATCTATCCCTATTTGGATAGCATCCGGCCTGTGACAAGCCTGTATGAGGTGGAACCCGGTGAGAGGACCGATTGGCTTGGTTGTCCCAGCATAACAGATGATTCTTTGTCTGAATGTGAGGAGAAAGAAGCAACTTTTTCTGTTTCTCTTGAAGCAACTTTGCGCCCAGATGAGATAGTTGCTTTTCCTTAACTTTCCCAATGGAACCACTATTGTGGCAAAATTCAACAGACCGAAGTTTTTCCCAATCGTTACTTAAGAAACCTTGTGCTTTACACAAAAGGCTTCTCTTTGTTTTATCAAATCTGTTACTTTTGTTCCAGGTAAACTGACTGACCGCGGTTGTATCCCAGTAGGCCTAACCAATCCAACTTTTGATGTGGTATTAAGTTTGATTTTACCTGGTTTTATCTTTAAACCAAAGGTTTTGAAATAGTATTAGTGTGCGTTGGGTTTGCTCTTTGACAATCTTTGAAAAAAGTTTCCCATTATCAGCCAATCGTCTAGATAAGCAAAGGTTCTTATGCCCTCCTTTGCAAGAGTTCTTTCTGGGAATATTTGCGGTTTTGTAGCTTTTTGAATTATGATTATCAGTCGAATGGCATCACTGTGAATTGATAACTTAATTCCCCTACTTTGAACACCAGAAATTTTCTGTACCTAGAATAACAGGAACGTGATATCACGCATCTTCGAGATCCACTTTTGAGATCAAGCATTGGGTGGAAGTAGATGCACCTCAGATGGTCGTAAATGAGCATCTTGAAACTTCTTTTGGGAATAAATTTGTTTTAGGATTGAAAAGATCCAAAATCCATCTTCATTTGTAAGCTGCCTTTCTTGAGAGGGACTGGGAATAGGTGAGACATAAAACATTCTCCTGACTACAACGGTTCCTATGACACCTCTGTTTAGTAGTTGACTTACAAATTTTTTTTAAGTAATGGGGTTGGTTTTTGACCCTTCTTTTGGGAGTGCTAGGGAGATGCCTCCCAACCAAGTCATGTAGAGACCCCCTTTGATTGTTTTGTAAGCCCCGCCTGGAAGAAGTCCATCTGTTCTAACCCCTAGACTGACCCAGCTGTCTGAAAGCTTCATTATTGGAAGGGGAAGTTGCTGAGAGTGGTGGAATAAGGTCTCCTTTAAGCTTCTGAACAAACATACCTCTATTACTTCTTTGATTATTTCCTCCTCAAATTTCACTTAGTTGATATCCGCCCCAGGCAGCTGGTCTGTTCCCTGTAAAACCTTCCTCTCCTAGGTTTCTGAAAGGTCTGAGGACTCCTGGGGACATTAATAATAATAGTATTACTCCAAAGATGATCTATAATTAATCAATGATAGCTCACCAAGCAAAGCAGGAAGAAAGAGAGAAAAACGTATTATCAACAAATAAGCTACCACTTGAAGCATTATTTGTTGCTTGTTCTCACTGGGTGGACTTTTCAGTTTTAGGGCTTTCAACAAATGATCTAAGAATGAATTGTACACAGGGAATATGGGTTCTTGCTTAAGCAGCATAAAACATTTGTCCACTTCTGAATTTTCTTCATAGTCCAGCACAAACTTAGTTAACCTTGTTACCTCATAATTACCAGACCAAACATCTGCTGCCAATTTCCCTAGTTTCACAGAATTCTTCAAACATCAGTGCAGGGGCAACTGGTTTCAAATTTTTTGCCAAACATATCAACATATTTTGGAAGCTTTGACAAATATTGGGAAAAAGATCATATAAGGAACTCTTTTCGTCATTAAATTGGAGCTTCAAAAAACTAAACTTGAGAGCATTCTGTCAGCGGGAATAGATGTTAGAGTCTTTCAATAAATTAGCCCAGACCGTCCTATTTCAGAGATCATCTTTGGGCAAATATCAGGCTTCAAAGTGTAGTATCACCCTCCAAAACAAAAGAGTGATGACCCAAAGTTGCATGTCGCTACTCTCTCTTTAGTTGCTGAGATATAAGGAAGCTTAGAACATTTTCATAAAATATCTTGAATAAAGGAATCACAGATTCCAGATGGATTAGTGAACAAAAGAAGACTTAGCTCTTGCAATGGCCAACTCCATGGCCTGTTAGAATCAACCTTGCACTCAATATTATCCAGCAACTGAGTTTCAGTCGACAGCACAGCCTGTTTCCACTCGCAGTAACCAACACACTTTTTGTCCCAGGTGCGATGATTTAAGATAATGGGTAGGATGAAATCAGTCTCAACAGGTTCTTCCTGCTCAGAGACTAGATACTATGACTAGAACCAGGCTCATCGTCCTGATCCTGGAATCACTGAAGAAATCAGACTGAGTAGATGAGGTTTTTGAAGACTTCCCATTGCCCCATTGTCTGGAGGTCCAATAACTTATTTTTCTTAGCAAGCAGTCTTGTCTAAGTGGGGATTAAGTCTTTATAACACCGTAAAGCCTAAACTTTCTGCCAACTTGGGATCTTTCCATTGTTGTACATTCAAAAATTTACTCTTCAAGGCCTTATTCACCTATTTTAATTTGTAGTGCAATAAATCTTTCTTATCACCTGTGGCAGTGGGGTGAAAAATTTGATCATAACAAACTGCACAATCAAACTGGTGAAAATAAGTTATTTGAGACACAGGCTGCCATAAATGCTTTAAAGCCACATGAGGATCTATCTTAGTAATCAGAATCACTGTACATTTTTTATAAGTACATGTAGTATGGCCCCTTGGGTCTTGGGTGAAACTCCTACTACTGAATTCAAATTCTCTACTGACAGACAATTCCTTGAATGTGAACAATTCATGAATGTAGTGCCACAGAGCTGAACTTTCCTGATCCTTGTAGCTCTACATCACTCAATAGTATCTCCTCAGGGACAGTTCCATTGTCTCCTCCATTATCTATAGACACGAGTCCTGACCTTCATCCTCCAGTTGAACATCCCACTCATCACAATTCAGGAGGATACCATGGTCATTATATCATTATAACACAAAGTAATAATAATAATAATTAATGGGAGAAAATATTTTCTCTCCCCAAACTTAATATCAATATGACTCATAAATGTTATATTATTTGTAAGTTAGTATTATACAAGTCACTCAACGATGACCAATATAAACAATAACTCACTATTTCGTATCTGTCTCCCGACTCTTATTTATCAAGTATCCTTAGCTCAATGAAACTTATTTATTTAAATTTGTTTTTATAAAATAATTTCATTCAGAACATTATTGAGAGGGATCATCAAGATCTTATTTGTTGTCAGGGCACAGAAATTATCCCCCAAGTAAACACTTAAAGGAAAAATTCTCGTCGCACTATCACCCAACAGGAGTTTGACAGTGCTGAGCCGCTAACATAAGCTCTATTGGTAGCAAAAATTCACTGTTCTCTAGCAATGTTTATTGGGTTGAAATTCCACCCTGAATTGGTCTCCTTATAACCCATAGAAGGTGTAAAGTCCATTTCAACATTACTCTAGATTGCTAGTAAGACGGAAGGGTCAACATTCAAGGAAAACTGAGTCAACGCAGCCTCGCTAAAAGTTAAAGCGAACCCGCTACTGAGGACATTAAAGTTATGAAATTAAACTCAACTCTGGCCTTTTTGCTGAGAACAAATAGAAACCAAAGTGGAAGCCCAGGTTTTAATGAGCGATACATAAGAGTAGGGAGAGAGATAGTCATGAAATATTGTAATGCTTACATGAATAATTGGGACAAAGATCGTAAACAATATACAGTTGGTCCTCATATTCGCGGTCATTCCAGCGTTTCACCGTTAACGATTGCCTTGCCAGAATTTCTTATTTTACGCCATTCAGGGTAGTAGACAACCCCCATTCTGTAGGGGAAGCGTAACTAGCTTCCAGCGCCATTTTCAGATCCAACTTCGCCATCCGCCATGTTGTGTAGGCGTAAAATGAATTAGCACAAAATTCGCCCAGTCATCAAAAACGTGCAGTTCTTCACCCATACCCACCACAGCATTGAGTCAGTGATGAGTGATAATTATAGTAGCGAGGATATGGACTTATACTGCCGAACTTTGGGGAGTTTTGACAAAGAGGCCCTGCAAGCCTCTGTGGTGGATAGTGATACAATTGATACAAGTGATACAGGTGAGGCCAATAATCTGCCCCTCTGCCTGGAACCAACCGCCCATCCCGTGTGCCCAGCCATCTTTTCTATAATGTAGTGTTAAAAACCTAATATTATTGATATTTCTCTTAATTATTAATTGTGTGTGCATGCCATCATAAGAGTTAAGATAATATTTTTACTACAACAACATAGTTGTTATTAATAGATCAAAAGTGGGTTTGGGGATCGGCCGGACTTCATTTCAATTAATCCCATATGTTATGTTATTCACTTCGCGTTCTCCTTTCCGCGGTACCCTCCGTCATTACATTAACCCGCGTAATATGAGGACCAACTGTACATATATATGTATACAGTATATTTAAATGGATATATTCACATATTCTCTTTTAGTGAAAATGAGCCGGAGGCGCAGCGACATCACGAGTGACTTAAAAAGCAAGGGATAGTCTAGCGATCTAAGCGACTCAGAAGAAATGTGTTTTGGTCGCCATGCTGACCCAAAAGTCGTATAGAAAAATGTCCCAAATACAATAATTGAAGACATAACAAAATAAAAAGTCCTCTACTTCATCACTGTGCTATTAATACAAATACGTATATAATATCCTTGCGGAGTGGAAGAGTATTTCAGCAATTAGAACACAAATTCATGAACTTCCCTTTGTGTCTATTTATAAGCTGGATATCGCCAAACGAAGATGAGGTTCGCATGGTAGCTGGACTGGAAGGACTTTGAGAAAATAACAATTAAATGCCAGGTAGCGGCGTGTCCTCCTAATATTACTTATTAGTAATTATTAGATGTTTAATTGCCTGTATGTTGACCTGGCAGATTGTGGAGATGCTGTCTGGGTAGCATTGCTGGCGTAGCATTGAGAGCATTGAACAAAAAGGGGGGGGAGTTTGAACCGGGCTTACGTGTAGATTATATTCTTGAGTAATATTTCTTGTGATCATAAATTGAAGCATATACAGTACTTTACAGTATCTCATTAATGATATTTACATAGAATGTTGACTATACTGGAAGGACCTTTTATACATGTGTTTTCTGTTATCAATATTGAAGAACTTTATTGTTATTATTGCTCTTTAGTTCT